TGGGACGGTATATAAAAGCAAAAACTATCTGGGGTGTACTCTCTGAAGAAGAAGTAGCAGATAATGGATGGATAATTTGATGTTTGATTGCGGAATGATTACACTGGTGAGGCGGTCGACAGATGATCATTGTGGGGATGAGCATAATGACAGAGATGAAACTAGTTGGGATGAAAATAAAGATAGTTGTGATGATGATGTGATTAACTGAGTGATAAGGATTTTGAAGTTGATGACAGTGCAGTTGCTGGAATGAAAACACCTTTTATCACCTCTAAAGCTCGCTCATTAACACAATGTAGTTTTTCTTGTGTTAGCTCAACACAAGCCATAATGTAAATGTCATTTATGATTTTATGGCGGTAAGTGATGTAAATTTTGTTCTACAAAAACAATACGTCCATCCGCCCAGTACTTCTGTGCATTATCTCTAGTCAGATTGCTGATCAAGGGTTTTGTTCTCAGTACTGGCACAATGCTACCAACCCTGTCAACCTCGTGATGCAAGAAAGTGTGCACACTAACTAGGGCCAGCTGTTGTTCGCCAAGAAATATTTCCAACAATTAACTCCCACCCCCAAAACCACAAATAGCTATTTTTTACATTTCTCTTAACATATACAGTAAGTGTGCTCCAATGTGCTAATTAGTGAGTCTCAACAGAGCCAGGCTGGTTTCCAGCCTTTATAGTAAGGTAACTGCATCTAAGGTAAGGTAACTTCAGTGCCATAATCAGTCATGAGATCCATATTCATCTTCAGTACGTTTCCCAAAATGAAAATCATGTAATTACTTTATCATTATATTGCTACGAGTCATTGTGCCGAAGCTGGCTGTGACTGTGATGAGTTTTCTTTAAGATTAGGACTGGGTACCCTTTCAAATATTTCTGCACTCATTCTGTGTACAATACCTGTGTTTTGATACTGATGCCAAAAGGGCTTTTGATACCTTATTCTGAGATATATTCATGTGTTTCTACAAAACCCTGATTTTCATTTAACTAAAGAAACCAACGGAAGCAAGAACTTTACATCTCTGATATTGTATGAAATGGCCAAAATTATAATTTAAACCAGGAACTGTCTGTTGAAGTAGTAAACACAAAACAATCCCACCAGAGATTTGATGGCAGCGTTCGTCTTGATGGTTTTTAATGCTAGAGACACATTTGAGCATATCAAAAAAAAAGCATTGTAGTTCACTACCAAGCTCTAATTTACAGTAGATATTATCATGTGATGACTGCAGAGGTGACTACAATTATGACAAACCTTGTGCTCAGATCCTTTTGTGAAGGTTTCAGTAATGGATATTCAGATACTGATGATGTCATGACAAGTGCTGATCACACTAATGACAGTGATGACTGTGGTTGTTTACTATGAGTGTGTATCATGAAAGAGACAAACACTGCGACGGAGCAGCGTGTCACATGAATTACACTGAGAGAAAAAAAACAGAAGGAGAAGGTGAGTGACTCTTTATATTTTCTGCTGATCTCGTTTGCCGTTAGAGGTGCATTTAGCCACACACTGATGTCTACTGAGAGCTGATGAAAGATGGAGGAGCCCTGCTTTATTCATCCTATTGATTCAGCCCTTACCTTTAAAGAACACCCACCCCTCCCCCTTACTTACTCTCAATCCCCGTCTTTACTCTCGCCCCTCGTCAAACTGGTTAGCCCCTTTTAAATAATATAGTTGCTTATTTGATGCTCAATGTAACCTCGATCAGAGGAAAAAAGTCTAATTGAATCACTCAAGCGTGCTCTTTCAACACTGACAGCAGACACTGTTTGTGTGTGGTGGCGGCTGATTCTCATTGCTCCTGGTTCACAAAGATGTCTCTGATTTTAAAAACCTTGTGGGTGAACTGGGGGTGAACTGCTGCTGCTTTTCACCGAGCTACAGTAAGCAGAAAACAGGAGGGGGGTGGGGGTACACTTGAAATTTATTTACAATATTAAAAATAGTATTTCATTATTTTCTTACTTTTTATTGACCAGTTTTAAATGTTGCTGTGTATAAAAAAAGAAAATCCCTTATATAACCACAATTATCAGACAGGCACTGCCTTCCTATATTTTAAGGGTTCATTCTTTCCACCTACAAGGATGAAATTATGACCATCCACCAAAATACATGTTATACAGCATGGGAGCATGTGTTGAGCCTCTCTGTGTTTTATGATCTCATTGTCTGCTTTTCTTTGAATTCGCCTTTAAGTTTTATTAATTTAAATATTATTTTTTTTAAATTTGATAACCATCCTGATGATATCATTATTATTATTATTACTATTATGAAGCTGAAGACAGACTTCTCTCTCCATTTTAGAACCTGAAGCTGTACACAAGTCAAATTTCACAGTAAAAGCCTAGTGGATGGATTATTTTGACACTAGCTGGACTGAGCTTTTACACAGGTGTTATACGGGTGTCTGCAGTAGTAGGAGTTGCAATAATATAGTGGCAATGCTAATAGACATAGAAGCTGATTAGCTGTGGCAGGCAGCAGTGTGTTTCCTGTAGTCAGGTAACAGGTGTAGTAGATTTAGCTGCAGCAGTAATGAATGTAGTTGTGGCAAAAGCAGTGATAGTAGCAGTAGTAACAGACACAGTAAAATTCAGCAGTATTAAGATTTTAGTATTAACATTGTTTTTTTGTATTTTTTCAGGAAAGCACCTCAATATTCCACATAGTTACTTTTCATCTCCCTCCGAGTATAAATAAAGTGGAAATATTTGGGCATTTGTGAGGTGACAGTTATTAATCTAATAGTCCTCCCATTAGTCTGTTGGCTCACAGTAAGGTATCTTATCACAAAGATCAGCCAGTAAATAGTCAGGTCCAAAGTCCAAGACTTGTCTCTAGTTTAGACTTTGAATAAACAAAACAGAACTGTTGCACATTTTTGGGCTCATGTTTGTGCTGCCTTAATATAATACTGTTAATAATGAATGTAAGTTGAAAGCACCTTTACATACAGCAATGACAAAATAATACAGTTCTTTAAAACACACCTAGGAGCAAACTGATATAAAAAGGCACAGTAATATAATTTTTAAAAACTCTATAAAACTGGTTAAATGAAAACAGGTTTAAATGAGGCCACGTGTGGAGGTTGTGCATCGGTTTTTTTTTTTTTTATAATCATGATTTAAAATTTTGATGCAGTTGTTTTATGGACAGCTTAATTTCTCTGTTCTCTGATGGTCCAAATGATTCAAAGCATAGCCTACCTACCCGTCCTTCCTCTTTGTCTCACACAACACACTACACCCATATTCACAGATCAATAGTGCCACCTGTCAGTTACCAATGATATTACAGCCACAACAGTTTGACTCGACTCCGTGGAGGATTAAAATTCAATAACTCCTCACAACGTTTCACTCATTTATGCAGAGACCAGAAGAAGAATTACTGTGATAAAAAATAGGGTCAATTGTATTTATATGTGAGCCATGTATTTCTTTCTTTGACTTCCAATAGAAACACTTCAGATTTTAACCATTCTTTTCCTTAAAAGTTCCCTAAAATCAAACTAAGAAGTTTTATTTCTTACTTATTCACCCCTATGGCATTTTTTTGTCATCAAACCCACAAAATGTTATTTTAAATTCTAGCAGAGATACCAACATTTCCAAACATACCAGTATCTGGCTGAATGATGCATAGGATATACTGAATATTTTCATTTTAAAAAGTGTCGTCTGGGGTTCGAATGTTTCATGTGTTGTTATCATTCTGTATAACCACCTATGATGAGACATGACAGGGAGCAGCAGGCAGACAGAAATCTTTCATCTGCTGTCAGGTCACTAAACGCTGTGATGAGAGGCTGAGAGGTAGTTAGGTAGAGGCTGTTGTTGTTGTTTGTGTGTGTGTGTGTGTGTGTGTGTGTGTGTTTACAGTGAGGATAGTTTCCCCTTACATAATAGTTTTGTTACTGAATTGAGTCCTTGACCTGATTCTTATCGATCAGCCTGGCTCTGACTTGTGCATACTTAATTCAGAGTGGTAATCAAATCAAACGCACCAAGACTTCCTCCTCCTCCTACTCACTGTCTAGGACAGAGCAGAAGACACTGGTCGTCATGTTATAAACAATGACAGACCTGTAAAAACAGAGCCAAAAACAGGTGTCTTGTAACGTAATATTGTACACTAAACAATAAAGTACACAACAGTCTCTGTTTTATTTCCTTTTTGCTTTCTGATGGAATAGTAGCTAATTTTTTTTAACTTTATACTCATGGAACTGGCCCAAGACCCATTTCATGTGGTCTCCATTTGGTTTAGTATACAGCTTTCATATCGGCCTGAACAACATCCAACAGGAAAAAGCAAAAGCACCAGAGTTTGTTTGAAATAAACAGTTTAGGGGTGACAGCATGCCAAACCTTCACCATTAAACGTCACGTCATCAAAAATTTCACTTCTCTCATGAATTAGGGATGGGCATTAGAATTATTTTGTGAGGTCAATCTAAGATGAATATTTGATTAGTCGTGACTTAATTGCATCGCTGTGACACGGCCTCCACTCAGACCAAAAAAAAACTATCTGACCTACCAATTTTGTAAATGACTCCTCATTGTGCACTATCTGACCTACCAGTGAGGGAACCATTTTTGTTGCAATTTTGTAAATGACTCCTCATTGTGCTGGTAGAACTGAGGAAAGACAGCTCCATCCCATATAACTAATCAAATAATTCATTATTCATGCACATTCCTAATTTGAATCTGTTGATAAAGTAATGACAAACTGCTCAGCTCAGACAAACAGCAGGTAAACTGGTATCAGATGTACAGAGGAATAAGAATATCTGTCAACAAGACCTTCTGTTTGTGTTTCATATGAGGCATTGCTAAATCCTTTTTCCTCTCTTCTTCACCCCACCTCCTCATCCTTTCCTCTCACATCCTCTCATCTCCCTCACTGTCTTCTCTCTCCCTCTCCTTCCTGACATTTGTTCCTCCCTCCTCACAGCGTGCAAACGGAAGGAGCAGGACACGGTGAAAGAACGAAACAACACACCAAAGAAGTCGCGGCTGGTCTTCACCGACCTGCAGCGGCGCACCCTGCTGGCCATCTTCAAGGAGAATAAGCGGCCTTCCAAGGAGATGCAGCTCACCATCTCACAACAGCTGGGCCTTGAACTCACCACCGTCAGCAACTTCTTCATGAATGCCCGTCGCCGGAGCCTGGACAAATGGACAGATGAAGGAGCCAGCCCCGGCGCTCAATCTTCGGCGTCCAGCACTTGTACCAAAGCATGATGACAGATGGCGAGAAGAGGAAAGGGGAGGGAAGTGACAGGGAGGGGTTAGGGTGGGGCAGGGAGGGATTGAGTGGTAGAGGGTGTGGGTCAAGGATTTGTCCGGTCGAAGCGAGGAGTAAAACCAAACTTTTTACATTTTATTGTTTTGCTTTTGTCGAGGGTGACAAACTGAGAGCGGGGCTGCTCACTGCGACGACTTGTTTGTAGCCAAACCGCCTTTTTCAAATTCATTGCAAATCCATAAAGGAGCTAAAGGGTAAACTCACCTATAAAACATACAAACCTCACTGGGGGGGAGCGCAAACTTTCGAATCATAGACTTTCACTGTTGATGTCTCTAGCAGGAGATAAGCTGACATGCTAGCCCAAATACCAAAGACCAGAAGACGATGTGCGTTTTCTATTATGCAATATAAGCTAGGAACCAACCAAACAAGAAACAAAAGAAAGCTTTATGACTGCAGAATGTGCTAGAAGCTCTAGGATGAGATGGTACTTTGAACCTCAGATGTCCAAAGACAGTAAGACTTTCAGCTTTAGAAGTTGGGATACAAAGATTTCACAGCCAAATTTACAAAGCTGCCATAGCTGAACTGTGATTTTAAGACAAACTTAGGTGAAGATAAATGGCCGTTCTAAATCAAACCAAAGACAGATGAGAGGGTGAAAAAGGATTCCTTGGTCAAAAGAAACGGTATCTCTTCACTGGGGTGATTGAATATAAAAGTTATTTCTTGACCTCGGAAATAGTTTTTTGACTAAAAACTCTTAGCACAGGGTCTTTTTACTAGCCTTGATTTTGTTCCAGTGGATTTTGTGTCAAGATTATTTTATCAAATATACAATGGCTCAGTATGTTGAGGGTTCACTGTTTGGCTCAACTGATCAATGTATATAATCTGCTAATTATTGGCAGGGTGATGTAGAAAAAACATATGTGTTAATTTGGCCTTGCACTCTTTAACCTATTGGTTCACAAACATTAACTAAAAATTAAACGTCCGGTTTTGTTGCTGACATCAAAATAGAAGAGTTTGCTTTCAAACTCTTCTATACTGTTTTTGAAAAGGAAACACACAATGTACCTGGAGTTAATCTCTGGAGTATATACTGTATGATCCAGGTGGTAGGTGGATTATTGTCTAGTCACCTTTTAGCCTTTAGCCATCTTTCATTTACAAAAGGATGAGATTTCTGTCATTTTTAGTCAAAACTCTTGTACCAAAGAGCAACCAATAATTTGACACACAGTATCCTCACAGCAGTGAGGATTTGTAAAGTTAGGAAATGGCAAAATATGCAAGCACAAACACACACACACACCTACACACAAACGTCCACAAAGGCACATGCAACGTTCCTCATAATTTGAGCCGACATGATGAATTATAAGCTTACTCAGCATACTTAGCGTTCAGTGGCAGTGTTAGTTATTGAACGTGACTATGTAAAACACGTGAGCACAATCTTGAAGCACATTTTCTTTGCAATAGAACCGGAGCTCTCTGCCAAGCCGAGTGGTCTTCACATCTTAGAAAACTCAGGATGCCATTTTTTCTACACAGTGGCTGAAATCCATTCAGCATCTGTTGTTACACAATGTAATTTGCGAATGTACAAACACATGATGACATACATACTGTTGCCTACAAGCAAATACACATGCTTCACAAAAACACACAAACACACACACACACACACACACACACACACACATCTTTAAAGAATCATTTATGGAAGGTTGTCCCAAATTCTGACCCTGACCAAAACATTGTCAGCTAAACCAAAGCTAAGCTCCAGTTTACCCTGGCTTCACCCACCCATCATTTGTGTTACCATGGTAACTCATCCATCAACCGTGCGCTTTCATCTTAGCATTAGCACAATCTTTAGTCTGAGTTAGAAGAGAGATGCTATTTACACTGCTCAAACCTGGTGTTTGATGACAAAAGCTGTAACTGAAATTTTTAACAATTAGAGCCCAGTCTGTGGTCCATGAGGTGGTGAGATAAAGGGAGATTTACAAGCTGAAGGCATCATTTTTAATGCACAAACACAAATGTTTTTCTACAGAAACATCTCACTTTGAGAGACAAAACAACAAATGCAGCCTGGGTATACACAGAAAGAAAAGGCTTTATCAGTGACTGCTCCTTGTTATGGCATAAAAATCATAACATTAATTTAAAACAAGCCCCTTGTCACATCAACAAACTCTTCCATCCCGAGTTTGTGCCTATTTTATCCATTTTTGACTGTTGGCTTATCACTACTGAAGAGGTTTTCAGTTAAAACCTGCGCACATTTGACCTTTTACTGTACATCCAGGTGTAGACCTAAGATGGTTTTTGGAAGCCTCTAGCTGCCATCACAGATATCCCAAAAAGCAAACCACAGACTCCCACAGCATCAACTGAAAGACGCTATAGCCGAACCAGTGAACCCTCCGAACCTGTGGAGGATGAACTGACCTGCCCAGGCGGATCAGGGCCTTTGTAATAATTAAAGAGGACAATCTAAAGATGATGCCTGGTAGGTCCATCTCCTCCAGAGGGTCAGCGGGTTGGAAAACTAAGTCTTAACGCTGCAAACAAATTATTTTAATTAAGTCTCCAGTCACATGTGGACTTCAAACTGTGGGAAAACACTTTATCAAGATGAGACTTGAAACTCAGCTATAATATAAAAAATTTGCCACTAATAACTAGAAGATTGTTAGTTGTTTTTAGAGGGAAAAACTCCTATTTTGAGGACAAAACTTGAGATGAAGCTCAAGATGGAATTTGTTTGCAGCGTAGGACAGGATGCTTGGTAAAAAAGATGGGCTGCAAACAGACATGGGGACTGAGAGACAGACACAAGATCTCTCTGCCTGTCTCTATGACTGTCTTTGCATCCATATACTTCACCAAGCCTCTCTCACCACCAAATCACACTACAAACACTGATTTCATTATAACACCATCACACCTTACAGCCTTTACACATGATGTAAATACTACCGCACCCACAAAAGCTCATCTGTAACCACCTCCTATTCAGTTTTAACATCTTTATCATACACAGTCACCTCATCATTCATCTGTCACTCAAGCTATCAAACCAAAAAAAGAAACAAAACCAAAGGAAAAGTGTCAGTCAGCAGCCCCTGCTCCATAGAAAACCCAGGCTGAGTCTCGGCCAGGTTAGAGGCAAGCCAAAGGCTTTAAGAATGATTTAAAAATTTAAAAAATGGACACTTGGGACTTTTTCTATTTATTGACAAATCGAAACCAAAGAAAACCTTTTTCTGCACCTAACTGTTCCAACAAATGGAAAACACTAACTGAAGATGGAAGAGAATTATTACCAAAAAAGAACAAAACAAAATAACACACAAAAAAACAAAAAACAAACAAAAAAAAACAAAAAAGAGTGATGGCGATGATGATGAGGATGGAGGATCACGACGAGGTGGAGGAGGAAGGGAGGATGACATCATGGGAGTGGAAAAGTAGTTTTGTTCTGCCTGATGCTATGTCAGGCTGCCCTTGAGGGGAAACAAGTTGGGACTGAAATGGGTAAAACCACACAGGAAGGAGGGAAGGTACAAATGGAGGTCGGCCATTTTCTTCCCTCCAACCCTGAAAAAAAGGCAGAACATTAATGTGTCTCACAGTTGAAGAGTGTCTTTAACGTGTGCCTATGCAGTTTTTCACATTTAAAAATGGTTAAAAGAACAACAGAAACCTCATCAGCTAACAAACCAAAGATTCACAGTTAATTCCAGTAGCAGTTCTCCTCCCCCCAAAAGGAAAAATCTCACCTTTCTCTAACCAGCATGTACGTACACACCTGACATACATCCTCACTGGGAGTGGGAGTGGTGTGCTGCGGGTTTCTCAATATTTCCACAAAATACTATTCCACAGCATCAGCTGTACACGTTCCAGGACAGCGTGCAGGCTGAATGAAGCTTGTTTGTCCTTTAACTTTCAAACTAGTAGCATTTCTTTTTTTTTATCTGTTTACCCTTTAAAACTGATCAACTCAGCCAGCATGATGACAGTTTCTTCCAGAACAGCTAGAATTCTGCTTGCTAACTAGCTAGTGAGTGAGTCTATCTTAGGTTCCTTTAACTTTTAAAGCTAAAATGTCTAAAACATGTGGTACTCTGATTGGTTATTCCTCCAGCATGGCTTTAATAGATGCAGCCATCACAGTAAACCCTTCAGGCACACACAAAAAACAGCAGTTTGAAAAAAGTCAAAAGCTTCTGCATGGCTGCCAATGCTTTTTTATTTTGCGCCACAGGACAAAGTCTACCTCCAACAATCTCCAGCAGTAGTAACAAAAGCTGCCACACAACAGTACAGTGATGCTTTTTCCCCTTCTTCACATTCATATGGTTTGAGCCACTGAATCCAAAATGTCACCTGATGTATTAGCGTTGAAAATAAGCACCCACTAGTTGTTGACTGTTACTCAAATGCTTTAATCTTCCATTTTTGCTTCAGTCTGGTGTGGTGATTCAAACTGGCCACCTCTTCTTGTTAAAGCTTGCTATTGTTTGGCAACTTCCTTACTACGGAGAGCGAGACAATGCTATTTAAACGTACAGTATATACCAAAGATTTCCTGCTGTACAGACAGTAGCACACTGACAGCTTTTCTTTTCTCCATATGCCTTTAATAATCTTGAACTGAACATGGATTGAGCTCAATCCATTTCTACTACATTAACCCGCTCACCATTGTTTAACGTAGTGTCGCTCAGTTTTCACTTTTCACTCAAACCTTGTAGAAATGGGCTGAACCAGAGAGTCTTGGGTGGTTTGTTTCAAGCAGGATTTGGATCCTTTACTAATTGTGACATTAATCATTTAATCTACAAATAAAAGATGCAAAAAGATAATTGAACGTAAAGTTACAGAACATAATTGAAAAACAGTCTATTCCAAACATTGCACTGTTTTACAAAGGCATCAAATAGGAAATGTGCTTCTGCACATTTCTTGTTTGAGATAGGTCCAATAATTTAAATTTC